AGACAAATGTATATTTTAATAGAACTATTTATAAATTTGTGTAAACTTGTGCTTTAATTTTTTTAGAATTTGACTAATGTTAATCACTAGATAAATCAATATTTATAAAATATCTCAAACATTAATATATTATTTCAAATATTTGAAATTTATCATCAAGTATGTGCAAACTGTTGTAATTTCTTCTGTATGCATACACTTATACATGTATCATTACATTATTCCAGTTTGTTAATTTAAATTTTTAATTAGAACTACTCGGCTTAACTAGTTTTTTAGAATTATTTTTATCATCAAAATTATTATGCTCCTTTTCTTCTAACCTTTGTTTTATTAAACTTATAAAATCTGAGGCACTCCCTTTCTTTCTAACAAAATTCTGTAGTTTATCAGTTTGTTGGGAAAGTTTTTTAGAACTTGGTTTTTTCACATTATTGATCTCGTTGTGTAGAAAATTTGATTCCTCCTTCTGAAAGGATGTATCACTTTCAAAAAATGTTTTTACACGTCCTTCCGCAATAATTGCTTCTGAATTTTTTGAAGGTTCAGTTCTATCTGTATCAAGCATTTCTTTAATTTCACTATTTTTGTCAATTTGTACATGTTTCACTATAAATTCTGTACTACAAGCTACAGCTACATTTTCATCAGAAGTATCGAGACATACAGTATCTTTATTAGCAATTCTTCCCCCATACAAAAACGCAGATACATTTTTTCGTCTCCACATTTTTGAAGTTCGCGGTATAAATTGTTTACATTTCCCTTCGAATAAAAATTCGCTTGTATCGACATTTTGTATTTCTCCTTTCAAAAATTGCAAATATTTTTTCAAAGCGGTGAAAAAGTGTAATTTGTCCGTCATTTTGGGAAAATTTGCACAACGAGCACTACTTGATGGAGTGACCCAAAGTGCGACGTCTTCAATACGTTCGGGTTGCAATCCAAAATGGAAGTCGTTTGTTTTATTCGAAAACACATCATAAATACATTTACCATTGAAAACAGCAATTTTTGGTTTATATTGTTTTAGTTTTTCCTTTACTGTTTCGCAACCTTCTTTGATTTCTGTTCGTTTCAAATCAGCGGAAGATCTTGTTGCTCGTGAAACAATATTCGTTAAACCGATTCCATAACGACAAAGTTTATAATCTTCTTCGTATTTTAGACACCGCGGTGTCAATCCTGATTCATGCAAAAGCTTGTAAAAGTGATTACCTGGACCAGCGTAATATCTACCACGATGTGCTGCCATTAAACTAGGATTGATTCCAACGAAAACCATGTCCAAATTCATTTCCAGATAATCTGGTAAAGTATATTTTTGTACTTCTTCTTCTGACAATCCATCGAATCGATCAAGCTTCTTTTTAGGCCTACCCACTTTTTCTGTAAATGTTCGTTTCTTTAACTTGTTAAGCGTAAGGGTAGACATCAGTTTGCGTAAAATCATTCCCAAGATGTAGAAAAGTTATAATATGTTTTTTTCAAATATATATAGGTATAAGCATATTATTATTTTGAACTGTTTTTAAATCACTCCAGGAGAGTCTTTTCCCGCTGTTTTGAATTTGATTAAGTTAGGTTAGCTTCGCTATGTGTACATCGCTTTGTATTGCGCACTGAAACTGTCCGTTTATCTGATCCTAGAATCCTAGAATCACCAGCTGAAATAATAAATTCTCTCTTAATAGTTAACGTGATATATTTAAAAAAGAAGGGCAATTCATTTATGAGCATTAAATTTGTGGAATGAATTTTGTTCGCATAAAATTCATAAATAATAGACTATCGAAATTAATAACAAATAATATTCGTTAGATACGTACAATAAGGAGTAAAACTAAATTACTGATTGAAAGTTTCGTACAGTTTTTCATTTTACATCATGGACAGTAGGACATACAAAAAATAATCATAACACTAACGTTTTACATTATTTAAGTATGTAATACATAAATCGTTTTCTAATATTTTGTATCTTTTTTTTGTTTGTAATTATAAACAATTATTCATTTACCCAGTTTTGTAGAACATTTTCGATAATATAATTTTCTTAAATTTAAAAAATATTTAATACTTTGTCTAAAGTGCTTTTACTTTGTGAACTAAATTAAGTCACTTTGGCATTGATTCTATTAATTTTCTGTAATAATCAGAATCGGTTTTGTTCCATTGCTCAACAATTTTCTTCTTTGGAATTCCGCAATGAATAATACTCGTATGTTCTCAATTGGATTAGGACTTCGCGGAGACCATTATTCTATACTGCGTGAAATAAACGTCGCACAGTGGTGAACATGTGAAGAATTATGTCCTAATAATTTTTTTATCCTTGGCGTACTTGAAAAGTGCTGAGATTTTTCGATTACCGCATTTTACTCTTGAAATTCGCGTAGCACTTTCTACATGTTTTGGAAATGTTGTACGAATTTTTCTTCAGTATCAAAGTTTTTCAAGTATATACTATGCCTTTAATAGTTAATTACCTTTTTACCATGAGTCTTTATGTGAATATTCATCAGTGTTTCTTATAGTTATACTATACATGAGTCTTTATGTGAATATTCATCAGTGTTTCTTATAGTTGTACTATACATGAGTCTTTATGTGAATATTCATCAGTGTTTCTTATAGTTATACTACCTTGGGAATGATTTTGTCATAGATCAGGATGCGTCCGAGCATTTTTTCAAGCACAGTAAGTTTTAAGATTGTAATAAAAAAAAATAAAAAGTTCGGCAAATTTTTACCTTCTTGTTTTAGAGCATTTTGTTACCGCGGTGCGACGCAAATCAGGTAACCGCGTGTTGCGATCTGAAGTGTTTCAGAAGCCACATTCTAAGGTCATTAATTCTCTGCATTCGAAAGTTCTTTACTAGAAATATTTAACATTTTCTAACGAGATATAGACGACATTGTTTGAAACTAATTTAACGATAATTCACAGATAAATTAAGCAACAAAGCTATTTTATTTAAATATTTCTCGTAGCAATACAAAGTTTAATTTAAAATACTAAATATTCAACTTCATAGTTTCGCTGTATCAAATCAACTGATGACTGAGTCGTCTATCGAGTGCGAAGAGTTAATTTTAATACTCTGAAACAAATTTTTTTCTTATAAACTTATATCACTTTCAACTTCAGCAATTTTTTAGCAAGAATTTTCTGATCCTTTAATTTTCTTCTCTAGTGTAGAACATTTACAGAAAATTAATAAATTAAACAATTATATATTATCTATAATGTATCACGGTATATTGTCACAGACGAGGTACAGGATAGACATTAACACTAGAACTATCGAGCAGTCAAATTGAAGATTTCAAACTTTTCTATAGGGACTCTACGACCACAGGTATTGAGATTTCAATTGACTTATGATTTAATTTGCGTGTTACTAAGTCAGTTTTTTTAGTAATTTCGCAAAGAAGCATCTGCTATCTTTTCAATAATTGTAAAAAAATAATTCACGAATGGGTCATTATGACTCATTCGGTAATTCTAGTGTTAAAAGCTTATGGGACTCTGAATTACCGACTGCGTAATAAATCAGAGGTTTTGCTCTGACCTCTATGCCTAGAGAACGGTCAATACGAAAACTACATCAAGAGAAACGATCGAAGTTGACTAAGCAGTAAGTATGGTAAATCAGCATACAAACGTATCCGTTACAATATTGCCATGCTTCAAGTTTCCAAATGCGCAAAGCTAAGTACGGAGTGAGATGGAACTATAGAGAATTTGGTAAAATTACTGATGTGCTGCGTCTGCTCCGATTTTAATGATTTTCAAATATGTTGTTGGGCACATGATTTTGAACAATTTTTTCCTGTATATGTTGATAACGAAACGCTTTAGTTTTCGAGATAATCGCACAAAACTTTTATTACTACTATGCTCAATTCTATATATACATGAGTCTTCTGTATTACATCTACCCTTCTGCTTGGACAACTCATGATAATAATCTAGATAAGTTCTTAATACTATTGTACTCCTTTGAAAAGTGAGTACAATATTACACAGATACGTTATTGTAATTATTTCATACTCTGGAAATTTATTTCTCATTTTTATCAAATTACTTTATATTGTTTCTTTATTACATTTTATAATACTCTGTAAAATAAGTTGTATATTATAAAGTTTAGTAAAATATATATCTTCATTCATTTCTCCATTATAAATATATAAATAATTCAACAGTAGAGAATTGTGTGCAATATAAACTATTTAATACAATGTACTATGCCAAAACATCCTCAACACATACTTTTTTATTCTTACCATTCCTCCTACTAAGGAGAATTTGAATTTCACTGTACGTCTTACCTTTGGTTTCTGGCACAAAGAACAGTATCATTAAAAACGCCAGGAAACAGGATACTGAGAAAAAGAAGTAAACTGTGTGTGACCCTAGACTATCGCCAATAACTTGATATAGTTTGGAAACAGCGAAACCGAGTATTCCATCAAAAACTGTAACAATGGCACTGGCAACGCCTTTCACTTCAGATGAAAATAGTTCCCCAATAAGAGCATTAGTCAATGTACCCAGACCAACTTGATACGCTACTTGAAATAGAATTACATCAACCACAGAAAGATAATTAACTGCAGAAACGTCAACGTGTCTCGCTTCAAGCATAAGATAGATCGCAAGAACGGCTAAAGTAACAAATGAACCTAGACTAGAAATCATTAAAAGCGGTCGCCTTCCAGCTCCTTCTACTGTTGCGGTAGCTAAACCACCGGAAACAAGCCCAACAGCCAATACTATAATAGTTGCTACGTTTGAGTCAATACCAACCGCCGCTTTATCAAACAAGACTTTCAAGTACTGCATTGTACTAAAGTTTCCACTAAGTTGCTGGGCAGTTATTAAACCAAGAATAATACTTAGAGCTCTAAAGTTATTAGATAATCGCATTATCTTCAATTTAGCTAACCAAGTATGTTTGATTATCTTCGTGCTCTGAGTTGAATTCACCGATAAACGAGATTTATGCGATTCGGAAGGCACTCGTACAACTAAATACAACTCCCCTTTTGCTTCGTTGATATCAGGAATACCCTTGAAAAATGCTAATGACTTCGAAGCTTCTGCTTTGTAGCCCTTGACAGCTAAAAAATGAGGTGTTTCGGGAAACCAAATGAAGCAGAAAATAAACAAAATTGGTATTACTAAGAGGATCCCTGCTAAAACTTGGTAAGATACCCAGGGTCCTATACTGCACGTTAATAAAGATCCAGTAAAAACGTTCACTGCTATTAAAGTACCCACAGCGCCTCTGATATTAACATCAGCTACTTCGGATATGTACATAGGATTCGTAGTATAAGAAATTCCAACTCCTATACCGAGTATTATTCGGGAAATATATAAAGCTGTAACAGTTTCTGCAAAGAGTACAATAATCCAGCCAATGATAAAGAAGGCACTTGATAACAAAAGGCCACGTTTACGACCTAATCTGTCAGCTAAATAGGCTCCTAAAAAGGGTCCGATCATAGATCCGATCACAGTTAGGGAGACGATCCATGAACACTCGTCGTCCGTTAGTTTCACGGGTACGTCGCTGTCCCCAGACGTTAGTCGAGACAAAGAAGTGGTTGTCCATCCATATACGGTGCCAACAGCCACCATAGATAATGTCGCTGAAATTTGAAAAGTATATAAAAATTATTAAAATTTACTGTTTCTTATTTGTTTACTTATTTAAGCTTATTGATTCTTTATATATTTTGTACTGAATTTCATGTCCATAACTCGTAACCCAATAAAATTATGATGATTCACTAACAAGTGGATCTAACAGCATAACAATACTGCGCAAGTTTAAAGAAACCCGTATTTCGTGCAATTTTTATTCCTTCACCCAGTATATTTTTCACCCTAATATCCACCCCTAGTAGCAAACAGAACGTATTGAAAAACCCGACACGGTTATAATTAAAATATAAAAAATCACTTGATATAATTACGTATACTTCTGTGGAAGGTTTTACCTCCTTTTCCTCATCGAAAATAATTTCCAATAAGGTAAAGAAAAAAGGGGGAAACTGGAAGTCTGGAATCTAACTTTATTTGTGACAGACTTTATCGACATGATTTTAATGTAATAATTTTCATGATATTATAGGATACATTTCATATATCGTGATATTTCATGATATATATTAGGATTGCTATTTAATAAAATCACTGATCTAGGATAAGCAGCATTAAAACATCACACTTTTTCATCTAAATTCCGGGTATTTTAAATTCTGTTTAAATTAAATACAACATCTCAAATTTGAATTAGAATCGGATTTGGAATTTTCTACAAATTGTAGTTTGTAATCGTAATTAACACTAGAACAACCGAACATTAAAATAGACATTTCCAAATTTGTCTACAGGAAGTCTAAAAATACGGCTACTAAAATTTCAATTGTCTTATGATTCAGTTTGAATATTACTGAATCAATGTCTTTCGTAATTCCGCAGAGAAGCATCTGTTATATTTTTAACCCTTTGCACTCGGAAGGTGACTCTTAGTCACCACTTGATTTGATGCAGTAAAACTATAAAATCTGATATTTAATGTTGAACTTCGTATAATGCCTCGATACGTGAAATATTGAAATAAAGTAACTTTGTTCCTCGATGTATTTGTGATTTCCAATCAAGTGAGTTCAAGGAGTATCGTCTTTGTACTACCAAAAAAGGTTAAATATTTTTAGTGAGAAATTTTCGAGTGCAAAGGGTTAATGATTGGGAATGAAGAACGTAGGAGCGAATCGATCTGACCCCTCTGGTAATTCTAGTGTTAAAGAATAAGGAGAGAATACAGACTTAGGAGAGAAGCAAGTGAGAAAACCAAATGATTGCAGAAGATCCTCTTCCATAGTTTCGGGCGCTTTAAAAACGAGGACAAATCCAGGAAATGTGGATATAAGTCCAGTATGGGGTAACCCTACCTACATGCGATAACTTTACCAACTCTTATATCAATCGCATAACATTCAAACCAAACAAAATTTATTTCATTATACTTCATGTAATCGCTTACTTCATACATGTATACCTACTGTGCACAGTTGGAAAGATGTCTAGCGGGACGAAACAGGGGCAAAAGGGTTGTACCGTCGCTTGTACCGTCTAACTTCGGTCCTGAGCCTTCAGTTTTAGGTTCTCGGTGGTATACGCTGGCGTAGTAGTAGAATTTCCATATTTACGGAGGATACCTCCTATAACCTACCGTAAATATATAAAACCGATATGAGGGTTGCACTATATTGGCAAGATCTAATTGTTTTCACTTATATTTAATCATATTATACACTCTTAATACATATAATGAATAAAGTGTGTATCATAACATGTAGAGCTCACTTCGGGGGATAGAAAAACAGTGGGAAAAGTTCATATGAACTTATGTCCTATTTAATCTTGCTTCAATATTAGTGATTTTTGTGTTTTAATAATCTGCAACTATTTATTTACCTTCGTAGTGTTGAAGTTTTTCATACAACGCTAATATTATACTATGTATACAACGTTGATAGAAGATTCAACATGAACCAGAAATTGTTTAGAGGTTACGAAATTTTTTGATACGGCAATTGCAAGATTGTATACAGACCGAAGGTAGCCATTTTAAGCACTTTCAGTAAAAGTACTGTAATTACAATAAATAGAATTAGTAAGTTGAAACACAAAAACGGTTATAATATTGGAAAATAAGGTCAAATATGACATATTTTTTTTCATTCTGTTTGTATCTTGCGCTAATTCCTGAAGTAGGTCTCATATGTTACGATAAACCCTTATAAGTATACAGAAGTTTCAACATTTTTATACAATTTGTAGAAGAATACGTAGTTATGGGAACACGTACTTAATAATTTAGGAATCAATATTCGCAGTCAATATTATTAGAAATAAAGATCAATGTTTACGCTAATGCTTTGAGATTCGTCGTATCGCACGTTTCACTTTGTAAAGATGCATCTTATACAATTTTTTCGTTACGCGATACGACTAGTAAGTATGACGGTTTCAACAAATAATATGCTGCAACTGAAAATATGTTTAAGTTGAATTTACCCTATTCCACTACGACCAATTAGATCCGTATTCATTTCATTCGATATCTTTCCAGCTTTGCACAGTACAACCTTGCGTAATTTTATTAAGATACCCCATATAAGGTGAACCTTAACTTCACACCAGTATCTAATTACAAGACGTTATTATTATTTATTTAATCCATAACTACTATAACACGTCTGTGAGACCATTGTAAATTATTAATTTCTGTTTTCTTTTCTTCGTAACTTATAATCATGTAGCACCATAGTGTTCTCAATTAGATGTTTCTCATCTTTTTGACGAGATAGCAGCCTACCCACGAACGGAAAAGTCAGAGAGGCAGGAGGATTCTTCCACTCACAATGTTTGAATTGCTTTGGTCTTCGACGCATGGTCATTACTGACGTGCGGCAATAACAAAGGGCAGAAGCGAAACTGAGTATGACGGAGTGAGATATTTAACTGTTTGAGTACCAGAGTTTTTTAAAAAAACACGGTCGAAAAAAAGCCGAACAGCGCAATAGCACTTTCTGAATGGAATGTAAGAAGATCCAAGCGGCGCGGTAGCGCTTGTCTTAATCTATGTTAATACTATTATCCAATATATATATTAATTTATAATAGGTAACAACGAAATTCAAAATGTATTATCTGGATTATTTATATACAAAAAAAGTAGCGATGCAACGTACATGCCTCTGAAAAGTTGAGCGCATTTCGTCAGATTGTGAGTGCGCCACTCGCAACCGTCAGTTGACCGTATCGTTCAAATGCGCTGGGTTTTTTCGACATAAAATCTGAAGAGCGTGAAAGCGGCGCGTGGGATTTAAACTGTTAATAGACAGAGATTAAAAGATAGATAGAGATTAGCCGTTTGACTCTTATGTTTTGCCAAAATTGCGAAGAGCGCGACAGCGCTCCTGTTTTGTTCGTTTAAAATTAATTTGCTCTATTTGTTAGAAGGGAATTCACGCGCTTTGTGTAGCAAACCACTCGTTTAAAGGATCATAAAAAATTATTTATGTTAATTTGAGTAAATCATAAGTGCTCTTTACTAATTTTATCCACAAAATGAATTAAAACAAATTTAAGTAAATAAATGGTATTTTTTAAAATTTTTGTTGCAATTCAATATAAGTAAGTTTATTGTATGAAAAGCGTTTTCCATTTTTTTCCCATACACGCGCAATTAGTGAAAAGACGGTTAAAATTCATAGTGCCGCTAACTTCGTTCTTTATCGTTATATCTCACTCCGTTGTGCTTAGTCCCGCTTCCATCCCCTGTTATTGCTGCGGACCAATAATGACCATGCGTTGAAAACTGAAGCGGTCCAAACATCGGGAGTGGAAAAAATCTCTTGTCCCTCTGACTTTTCCGCTTGTGGGTAGTCTGCCATCTCGTTAGAGCTGCACTATACAACTTTGTGTTAACCCTTTCGCTACGTGGGCCTCGCCGCGGAGTCCCTCTCGTAGAACGAAACGCCGTGTCAAAGGTGAAAACTTTACGTGCGTGCGGTCTTCAGCATTCGGCGCCAAGTCTTTTGTCGCAAAAACGCCGTTGTGACACTGCTTTTAGGAGCAAAATGATTTGTATTCATAGCAATGTGTTTATCATTTTTCCATGAACGTATGTTTGTTATTGTTTATATTGTCTTAACTTTTGGCTCCATTTTTGTGACCGGTAACTATAGTCACCCGTCATGTGTAGGTGGTATCTTGTGACCAGTGACTATAGTCACTCGTAGTAGCGAAAGGGTTAAAAAGAACTTATTGGGCATATGGTGAGGATGACGATGTTGCAATTATCCAATGTTCATCGTAGTAGTTATTCGTGATTAAAAAGGATGTGCCAGTTATCGCACAATTATATAATTAACTAAAAAATGTATAAATAGAAGTTATCATTAATTGAATAACTCTTTATTACAGTGAAGAGAATTAATTCGTTATAAATTTTACTTGTTGTAGTATTCATTCGTTATAAAAGAAACAGAAAATATGTAAAATAGAAGCATGCAAGAATACTTATATATTATAAATTAAATTTTGTATTATATTTTAATTTTATATATTTAAAAAATGGTTTTAAGCCTATTGTATTCCTCGCGTTTGATGTAGCGTACTCTTCCATTGTGAGAGTTTTGATTTCATGAAATGCGAAATTATTATGTAAATAAGTACTTAGTAATTAAGTATAAAATTAATTTTAATATAAATAAAAAATAAATAACTAACCAGAAATACATGCTAACCATTGTCGCCATTGTGTCCTATTAGTTTCGCAGGCTTTATCTTCTGATAAAGGTAGTGACATGATATTGTCTACAGCAGATCCTTCCTTCCGCGAGTGAATCTGCAATAGGTGATAAAACAGTTTTTAAATGAAGCACAAACCACTGACTATGATGTATGGATTAACGATGTAATGGGTGGTGTTAGCAAATCCTTTAAACTAGTATCCATTCTTTGCTGACATGGAATAATAAAAATTAGTCTAACTTGAGGTAACTCACTTTACTAAGTAAAATATGTACTTACAACTATAATAGAACAACTATGATAGATTATAAGATTAAGGATACAAATTCTATATAACGAAATGAATAAACAATTTATGTGTGACATTTTTGAGATACAGTGGTGATAGGAGAGAGTTGCCGAAATGGAACCACTAAAACATTTTTGAATATTTGCGGTTATATGTGTATTAAACAAACCCAAGTGTTGAAAAAAATATTGTAATCTTTAATTCTTCAAAACAATGTAATTTATTTTTTTTCAAAATGTAACTTAGATCAATTACAAGGGAAAACTAAAATTCCAGTTAAGGAAACTGATTCCCTAAGATAAACCACCGTTTTAACTCTTTGCGGGTGAAGATTCTTTGAAATGTATAAAACCTTCGGCAGATGAAGTTAAATTAAATATATCGATTGCTCAATTAATAGGAAAACAGGAAACTACGTGCTGATCTCTTGCTGTTTTCACTAATTAAACCATAATTGGTTTTCCAAATATAAACATTTGATGCATGTCTTTTAATAGTTGCTTCGGGAACTCTATAAATATGGGTACATTGGTTCACACCATTTTTACCATTTTGATACGCAGTATTAGCCACGAATAAAATCATGACAACTGCCTGAGGTCCAAATTAGGCAACTTTACAAATACTTACAAAAAATGAATTGCAACGTTACTTTTGATCAATAAAATCGATAAAACTTTTACAGTAAATTGAGGATGTATAAATTTAGTCTCTAACAATATAATAACATTCGTTGTCACTTACATTGTAACAGCTTGAGGGTTTTTAGTCAATTCTTGAAAACATTAATTGCTAACTATATAATGCAAACGGCTGGTAAATAAACTACAATCAGGATGTGCGTTGTTATGAAAATTATGACATCAGTGAAGTTCGCGCCTGTTTTTTTAAGGTTGGTTGTCAAAATGAGACTCAACTCTCTAAATTCGACAACTCTCCCCTACGTAAATAGGTATTTACATCCAAAGACATAATTAATTGAAAGACGAGTTATAATAAAAAAGGAACATTTCATAAAAGTTATTTACATTGATTTACTTTGTTCATTGCTGCGTAATTTTGCACCATTTTCTCGGTATTTTGTGTGAAAATTAAGAAAGAACTAAAAACCAGAGTCTGTTTCAAAATAAAAGTTTCAATTTTTACAAACTATTTTATAGTTTTTCTAGGAACTGAAGTGTATAGAAGCGTGAAATGTATGAAGGTGTAAATCAATTTGAACGGTGAACTACTATATAAGTGCACTGACCTATATAAGTATCTAAGCCTGCAGCATGGAAAATGTTATAAAATGTTATGAAAAATATTTAGAAAGGTTAGTTTATACAATATTATCAGATGTAAAGAATACAATGTTATCGCATGTCATTAGTAAAGAACTATTCAGCCAGGCAATGGAAACAATGATTTTTTTTTCTATTTTGACTCTCGGAATTTTCAAGATTTATAATAGATTGTTGTTAAAACCAACATATTCTATAGAATCATTATGTACTCCGAGTGTCCTGCGTAACTGTCGCTATGATTTTTAAGATACATCCGATGATCTAATAAGAAAATGTTATGAATAAAATTCAATTAATCTTAAATAAATTACAAACTGCAATACAACAAATTTTGAAAAAGTTTTTCTATGGTAAAACCTCAGTACATACTCGCAGTAATTAATTTTAATAAAACTATTAATTATTGCAAGAATTGCGCATTTTGTATAACATTTTTCTTTGAACAAAATATCGCTGACATTTAGTTTCCGAGATAATCGTGAAAAACTTGTGCTATTACTACATTGAATTCTTTATACGTGAGCGAGTCAGTGAGACAAAACAAGCATGACCGCGTGGTCCCTGCGGCTGCTGGTGACTTACATCAATGAGCTTACACCTTCTCGGGTTACGTATGAATACGTTACCCGACAAAAGTTAACCCTTTGCACTCGACAATATTTTTCATTACAAATATTCATTACTTTGTGACTAAATATTAACGATATTTTTTATAACTAACACAATTAACACGTTGAATGCCACGAAGGTCACCGGTGAGCCCCGACCGAATCGAATTACTATAGTTCATTCAATTAAACGATAATTATCTAGAAACATTTCTATATTACAAATAATAAATACTAGCTAATGCGGTTACAGTCAGCTCGATGAATATGCAGTAATGATAATGCAATTCAATCGAATGATTTAATATTAAATTCTTTCCGTTTTGTGTATTTTGCTCTATGAAATCGTGCGACATTCAATGTGTTAATTATCTTACATAAATTAAGGGACAGAACTATTTTATTTCGATGTTTTGTGTGTTGATACATTATACAATGTTCAATATTGAATTTAAAATTTTATAATTTCGCTGTATCGAATCAGGTGGCGACTGAAAGGCGCCTCTCGAATGCAACAAAGGGTTAAAATCGTTCCAGTCAATAGCGACAATGACGACTGAAGAGAACATTTTAAAATTCTTACGCCCCTGCATCATCCTTCTTGAAGGATGCTCCAAACCAGTATTTCCTAATGTGGGTACGTCGCCCCACAGGGGGGCAATTTGATTTTTAACACTTAAGCAACCGCCTAAAAAGGACTATGACTAGAACCTTTCTCATTATCTTCAATTGAACTTATTTAACTGATTTTATCAGGAACTTTATAAAAGCAAGAGAGATATTTGACAAATTGCAAATAACTCGAATTCAAGATGTACTGAATAACAGAAGAAAAAATGAACAAAATAAAAGGCAATGTGTTGCTAAGGAAAAAGTAGATCTCCCCATTCGGTTGGCTAAGTGTTAAGGGGGACAATTTGAAATTTGAAATATTATTTTATATATCTCATAATATTTATGCACGTAAACAAAATAGCAAAAATATTAGAATAAATATTATAATATAATATTAAAAATTATATATATATGTTACATAGGGGGATAAAAATTTTAGAAAGGCTTAGGTGGGACATGTCACAAAAAAGGTTGAGAAACGCTGCTCCAAACCCACTGGCCACACCCCCGAAAAGGGTGTCAATAAAGTCTATGCGGAAGACGATGGCCGGATCTGCAGTTTTCGATATAACACAAGGGTTTTTCCTGGAACCGCTGGAGGAACAACGGAATCGGCCTGCCGAGGGGAATCGGCAGTTTCCCTAAAAACCGACGGCATTTCTGTTGCAGCTCTCGTACGGAACACTTCTGCAATCGACACTCGGAAAAACATCCTCGCAGCGAAATATATTCTAGCGTTTAAAATATAACGCCACAGAACAATATAAACTACGATCATTGAAATGATAGATAATCTTAGCGAAGAGAAAGTCGAACACTGGTCATCTGCGTTTCTATGACGTGTGTACATACGAATATCATTTAAAAATTAGGAATTTTTAAGCTATCCAATGAACTTTAATTTAATAACTGAAAATTGGTACCGTTCAGTTTCTTACGACACAAAGTTTTGATTTATGAGTAAACATACAACAGATCTTTGTATATAAACAATTTACAGAGGCCAACCAATAATTGTCAATTAATAAATGGTTTCCAAAATTGAAAACATAATCAGTTTTTTAAAATAAATTTTATCAAAGTTTGACGAACACAAAACATGTGTTTTACAATTGTATCCAGCATACAAAATTCTCTAAAAATGATTTATTGGTTTTTGAAAAACAAAACACGTAGCGCCATCAAACTTTTAATATTTATTAATGTGCGCTACGAATCGTCAAACACCATAGAATACCCGCCTCATAAATTATAAATCCTAGGAACGTTTGATTTTTATCATCATCAAATACTCGCTAGATATTAACCAATCAACGTTGGAAATGAATAAAATGAAAATGTATACGCCGTCTACGTAAGTAACTGTAATAGAAAACTTCAGAGGTCAACACGCAAACAGTGCGCAAGGCTGACGCAATCAAAGTCCAGTTTCATCAGTTAAGATGCGACATATTTCCGATAAACTAACTTTTATGTAGGATTGGGGCAACGTAGTGGACTTTAATATTAACCAAAGTTTATTAAACTAAGTAATTAAAACATGCGTGTATCTGCCGTTTATACTATTCTCTGCTTCGCTTATCCTGACTTCGACCAAGTTCACACTGTCTTCGCTTATCACGTTCGCTGCCAGCGTTTACTTCGGTGACGGTCTCCTCAATTAAAATATTTTCTTCAATCCAATAAATCTTCTAAACAAAATATTAGAAAAATGAAACTGAAATGAGTCATTAGGTTTCTAAACATAATGTAGTTTATCATTTCTAATAACAATATCTGTGGGATTAATTTCATTTTCATTATGTAAAGTATAGGATTACGGCCGTCACAAATATTTAACGCTGGCAGCGAACTTATTATATCGTCATACTGTTACTTGATATCTCCAGTCTTTCTCTTATATACATTTTTTGGTATCACTTTTTCACTGGTGCGTTTTTTATGGATTTTTGTTCGTTCGGTCGTAGATGTATAGATTTGCTTTTAAATTTTCGTGTGTCGGTTCATATGTAAGTTATCGGGAATTCTTTTAAAATGTCATTAAAAGATACACCAGATAATCAAATTTATAAATTGATTGAATAATACATTTAAACATGATTATTTAAATATATAATTTCAAACGCATTATATCTCAAATTCAAAATAAACCGTTAGGTTAAGCGCAGTAATGATAAAAAATAAAAAAGATTATTTTGAAACGTTTTAACTGATTATAAAACAGTTATTTTCGCCGAGTTATTTTTAAGATGCATAGATATTAAAACTAAATCCAGTTGTTCCAAATATCACTTCTCACGACACACACGTATCGTATAACAAAGGAATTTCCGTATTTAACTATATCTGAAATAAGTTTGTAATAAATGTTTCTCATGTCTCATTATGTGCGATTAAGTTTACAAAGAGCAATATAGATAAGCATGCAACTAGCGTAAGTAGATCAAAATACAGAGAATGAAACAAAAAGACGCTAGAATATTTTATTGGCTGTAATGCGACTCGTTAGATAATACAGTTTTCGAGAAAGTTGAAAGAAAGCGGATCGGATGAAGAACGTAAAGAAGACCTCGTACCGGTTATTTATACAACACACACACACACAAACACAGCGCGCGCACACACACAGCAGAGTACACAGTTGCATCTCACATGCAATGCAGCGCATTCACATCATACGCTCATGCGAATAGAGGTTTTCGATCACTGCTTTTTCTTTGCAGACGGTTTCGTGGTTCGGTAACATAACCTAACTGAGTTCTAAAGTTGGCGTGGCTTCCTCGGACAAAATGTGATGGAACATATAGAAGGTAATAAATATCCTAGTACTCACCAAAGTCTCGGTTGTCCGCGTCATAATAATATGAAAGTTCTTATGTAAAACCACATTAAAAAAAACTGCACAACATTTATATTGATTTTATGAGAAAATTAACAAGTTCTGGTTTAGATCTAGTCACAATGAATTTAAGTAGTTTCATATATGCACATGTGCTCGATTCACACTCGTACTCGTAACGCATACTTACACGCACGCGCACGCTTACGCTCACATGCACCGAACATATACATATACATCGTGTCGAATCTGGTCTGGATCACGTGAAAAGCACACTCAAACTTCCCTGATACGTACTTCCGTGTAGCACTGATTTTTCTATCGCGTTTTGCTTTTTTTGGAATTGTCCCAATGCCAGGAACAACAGTGGTATTTATAAGCGTATCGACTGGTGAAGTGGTCTCTCGTTAACTGAGTCCATCGTGCACGTGCGACGGAAAGACACGAATTTCTTGAACATGATCTGTGTACATTGTACGTAATGCAACTGAAACCCTCTCTCTCTTTCTCTCTCCCTCCCTCGCACTCTCCCTCCTTTACCGCGTTTCTTTCCGTAATCCTTATCGAAATCGAGAAACATTTCTGTAGTCTGATAATTTCAATGGAACATACTGTAGTTGTACATGAATATAAAGCATGAATTGAGTTTCTACAGATGTCTGGAAATGGTCAAATTCAAATTAATCAGAATAATTTTTAATCAAATAAATGTATCACATTAATCAAATAAATAAGAAGGTTTTTTATATTAACACTACAACTACCACGCGAGACGAAATTACCAATTCCTAATTTGTTCTTTTACAATTACTGTAAAAGTATAGACATGTCTTTAAGAAATGATTAAAAAATCTGATTTAGGAATACCTAAACTGAAATACAAACCAATTGAAATCTTAATAAATTCAGGCTTTTATAAAAAAATTTTAAAAAGACGGTTTAAGAGCTCGATAGTTCTAGTGCTAAGTAGTTTTCATTAACCATTTTAGCGTTTTACTTAATTTTAAAAAAGAACGCTTGTGTGGTTAATTATTTTTAAGCAATGATAAGTGTATTTGACGAAAACAGAGTAAATGCGCTTGCTGTGAAATTGAAATAAATTCTTTATATAAATAAATAATACACTGAGAAACTTTTTCATCCAGTTTCTTCAGAAATATATATTTTTATTATTTAAAGATTCGTTAATGTTACATATTTGTAAAATTTAAAATACGATTAATTCATAAAGATACAAATAATCAATAGTTGAGATTAAAAATATTTGTATGTTAAATAATTAAATATTTGTAAAAGGAATTAGAAACTTGATTTGTTTTTATAAAATACAATAATATTTTGGCCAGTAAAATTTACCGATTGCTTTAAATAGCAAAAGCAAATTTTTTTCTATGACGAGTATACTTGCCATTAAACAAAACTTTTCGTCATTTTATGATGAGTATATCTGACATAAATAACAAAACGGTTGATAGATACGCATACATTGCTGTGTATTTAATGGGTCTGTTTTTTGTGCAAAATTATCTGTAATATGCTTTTTACTCGTGTATATGTTTTGTATTAAATTCTTGCAATTAAAATAGCTGATGATACGACTATACTTATAGTACTAGACTTGGACATACTGTTGCGAATATAAATTGTTTATACACTTAGGACTTAGACACTGTTATATGTGTTCTGTATTGTTTCTAACACTTATATTGCTCATTATTACGATACAAGTGAATCAAGATAGACAAGGAATATTATTGTTAGTTGAGTATAAATAATTACTTCGAAGGAATTAAAACTTGAACATTTTTAAATAAACGAGTAAATAACATTTATAACACTTTTATAGAGATTTGAATTAGAAATGGAATCATTCTCTAAATAGTTAATCACTGAAACAACTTCGAAAACTCAACTTCATATTCACAGAAAATTGCAATTATGCACATGTATATTTTTACAAGTTGTTTTAAGAAAACTAACATTGTAGAATATCATGTATTTTGTCAGTAAATTCCACAATGTAGTCCAAACAATAAACATTTGGAATTATGAATAAAATGAAGATATAAGTAACATAAGCTAAAATATTTATTTTCAAATATTGTACAGCTTCACCGTTTGACATGAATACATTGACTTTCGTAGTCCACTTATAAACTGAACACTTTATTAATATTACTAATTGTAAGCGAATTAATAAATTATTATTATATTACATTGTTTATCTCATGCGGAAATGATCGCATTAAGTTACACTTTGTTATGTTTATAATGGTCATCTAAAGTAAGTAACTTGTACTCGGATTTAAAAAATCTCCAATTTACAGAAAGGTTACACGATGTAGCTTACAATTAGACTTGTTTTAATACTTACACACTTAATTTTATATACTCCAAGAGCAATGTTTACCCTAATCAAGTAGCACTAGCGAAGAAATTGAAAGGAAGTATCCCTTATGAAATTGCAAACATTCAATGACTATCTTCATTATGATAGCGAATAGAGTGATAACAGTAATCATTAGCTTTGTGAACAAATAGATCCATGTTTGTGCAACTTTTTTATATTACAAAAAATCGTGAAAAGACAAGATAACAGAGACACAATAAAATTTACGGACTCAAAAGGTTCTCGCCGACCATTTGATTTACTGTTTCGATGAAGAAGTATCGAACTTGTATTCAGTTTTATACGATTATTGTGTGAAATATATTTTTCTAGAAGGAAGTCCTTTTAAACAATTTATAATACACATTCTACAAAATGTGTAAAAAAGGTGTGTTTTAAATTCATTGTATAAGATTAAAATGTATTTAGTTACGCAATGATAATAAAATATGTTCATTACATACAAGAGAAAATACTAAAATATCGTCTGTCTAATAATCAGCTTTCTTATAATACGATTACTCTCTATCAACACATGTTTAATTGATTATTATCCGATTATAGTTAATTTCATGTAGGAACGTGTTTGACTTAGCATTCATTATATAACTTGGTTACTGCTATTTTCTTACTATATAATTTGATACAGTTATGGGTTCCCGATGTCTTATCGTATTAACATATTGTGCAATCGTGGTACATGTAAATAAATCCGTAAGTCTTTTCTTACTGTGGCATTGACAAACCAGTATACTGTTGCCGTATTGGAAAGTTGAGATGTAAACCTACATATAAATATCTCCTTTGGTGCAAATAAAATACATCATCTGCCATACTGTTATATTATTCAAGTTATGTATTAGTTTCTTATTCCAGTTGGTTGGAATCAATTTATAGCAAACTAGGTTGTATAATTAGAAACATTTTAGCATGTTAAAGATTTTCATCAAACCTCCTAATCAATGTCAATTTTTGGCGAATGATTTTAGTCACCTTTACAATGTAAAATATTCGATATGCTGTCATCCAACCCAATAGTCACGGATTACGTGTAGATATGAAGAAAAAAAATATTATGATTATAAATATTGAATAACGAGGTAGGTTATTATCGATGTCACGTAACAGCTAGCAATACGAAAGAACAATCTAACAATGAATGGTAGAAATCACAAAGCGCTTAATTACGTGTACTGTAGGAATAGAAAAGAAAAACATTTCAGAAAGCGTAGAAAATTCCTAGTAGAATCTTTATATGTAATCTTTTTCAAGGCAGGTATAAATTATATTGTATAGTTTTCTATGCAAAAGTATTAATGACACTTACGTTACAAGTGTTAGAGCTAGATTTAACCCTTTGCGCTCGGAAGGTGACTCTCAATCGCCACTTGATTTGACACAGTAAAACTATAAAATCTGATACTTAACTCTTTGCACTCGGGCATTTTTCACTAGAAATATTTTCATATTTCTGATGAGATAAAGACGATATTTTGTGAAACCAACTCGAAGAGAATTCATACGTACATTGAAGAACAAAGCTATTTTATTTCAATATTTCTCAAATTGATGCGTTATACGGAGTGTGGTATATAATATTTATTTATTTATTCGTTTATCTATTTCTATGTATTCTATTTTATTTTATATGTTTCATAGCCACGTTTATTTATCTATTCATATATTTCCTCTAGTCATGTTAATGTGTTTATTTATTACTTTGTTCACCTTCGCTATAAAGACGTATTGATGTACCTACCCTCGGTCAAATTTTGTAAGGCTGGGGAAACATATTTTGAAAAATAAACGCCTAGTATCTATTAAATATCAAATTTTATGATTGTACTGTACGAAATCAAGTGGTGAGTGAGAGTCACCTCTCGAGTGCAAAGGGTTAATGTTAAACTTTGTATAATGCCTCGGTACGAGAAATATTGGAATAAAATGGCTTTACTATCGGGCCGAGCGTCGCGAGTGGACGTCTCTCCTTGTTTCTCTTCACTTTAGCCACAGGCCGAATACTTTCACGTCAATAGCGCACTGTAATTTACTTGGTAACACCTTAGCAAATCCTCGCAGTAATCAATTTTAACATGTTGAATGCCGCACTATTTTGCCGAGACAATTATAGAAAATGAAAATAATGTAATATTAACTTATGTAATTGAATTACGTTGTTATTATTGCAGGTTTGAATTGTTGAATGTCGGTGCATCAGTGGATCAAGAAATGACAGGAAATAGCTCGATCAAAGCAAAGACAATTAACGCGTTGAATGTTGCACGATTTCTTAAAACAAAATCCACGAAATGAAAAAAATATAATATTAAGTCATTCGATTGAATTGCATTATTATTATTGTACGTTCATCTAGCTAAATGTCGCCGCCTCAGATAGCATTATGTATAATATAGAAATGTGTTCAAATAATCATCGTTTAATTGAGTGAACTATAGTAATTTAATTTAATTTATGTGTCACCGATGACCCCCATGGTATTCAACGTGTTAATATATAAAAATTAAATATTTAATTTAAAAAGTTGGCATTATTTATAATATAGATATGTTCTCAAATAATCATCGTTTAATCAAATGAATTATAATAATTCGATTTGTTTGAGGTCACCAGCGACCCCGTGGCATCCAACGTGTTAATGTAACTGTCAAATATTACAAGAATTGTACGTTTTGAATAACATTTTTCTTCGAGAAAAAATGTCGCTGATATTTAGTTCAAATGAATTTTGGGCAATAATACAATAAATGCATTCTCCTCCTAAAAGTACCGATATCTATTATCCGAGTGAAACTTATTTCTATATGTACGAGGAAAAGTATAGAACTGCCGCGATCGGGTCAAAGCTTTTGTAACGAAGCGTATCCGTGTGAAATTAGGAAAGATGTCGGCCGTGCGGTTATGCTTTGGGTGTCTTATGGACGCTCGCACGTGTGTAGAATTCATTATAGTGGTAGCAAAAGTTTTTCACGATTACCTTTGAAACTAAATGTCAGTGATACTGTTTTCGAAGAAACAAGTTGTTCAAAATGTGCATTTATGCAATATTTAATGGTTTTATTAAAATCGGTTACTGTGAGGATCTACTGAGGTTTCATCCCCGTCATTTCCTAAGTGCTTGCGTTGAGATGATTCAGTTTACGATACCTTTTATTAAAATATATACACCGATTCTCTTATTTTCCCTTTTGTTTCTGTATTTTTGTTCAGTTTTTGATAAAATGCAACTGAAAAATGCTACAGCGCACAATTCAAAATACCGTTATACTAATAAACAGTACACAAATGTTGTCATATTACATTAGTATACTTGTACCTTACACATAATCATAAATAGTTTGAAATATATTTAATTAGCAAAAATAAATTAATTTTTATAAAAATAAAAGTCTTATATATGTATATACAGTGAGTCACAGCCAAAATCGTACATCACATATACGAATACGTTTCATCTCGTGAAAAAGTTCAGGAAAGATATGGGGGAAAAAATATCATGAATCTATATTGTAAATGTATCTATATTTATTATATAGTAGTATCAAAAGG